CTCTACCTCCATTCTCAACGCCCAGCCAGAGTGATACTTTTAAGACAATCTTGTCCAACCCACAGGCTGCATGCATCCCAGGATGGCTTTGAATGCGCCCAACAGAAATTCGTAAGCTTTCTTAAAACATCATGAGATTTTTTTGCATTTGTTTTAGCTCATGAACTATCATTCATATTAGTGCATTCTATGTGGGGCCCAAGTCAGTACTTCTTCCAGTGTGGCCCAGGGAAGTGAAAAGATTGGACACCCCTGTTTTAAGACATCCTATATGCCACTAATTTTTAGGATACACATTTAAAAATATTTTAACACCCTTGAAATCAAGATACATTTTAATTTATTTAGCAGTGACTTTTCTCTGTTAGCGATACCGGAAATAATTGGGCATCTTACAGTCGTCAGCACAATAGATTTGATAGGGAACACTAAGTCACATCATGTTGCTTCTCTGCAGAACCCCCAGTGGCTTCTCATTTCCCACAGCATAAAAGCCACAGACCTCACCACACTCTGCAAAGCCCACCATGTCAGGCCCTGCCTGCCCTCTTGACTGCACCGGCATGCTCCTCACAGCCCTGCTGGTTCCTTGCACTCCTCTGGCTCCTGCTGGAGCCACGCTCCTGCCTCACCCCACCCTGCTACGAGTCTTTGCTCCATGTCACCTTCGCTGTGAGGCCTACTCTGACCATGCTGTTTAAAACTGCAGTTCCCCCCTCACCCCCAGCACTCCAGTGTTTCCCTCACCCCACCTAAAAACCCTCCCTGTTTCCGGGAGGACACTCCCAAATTTTCAGCACATACTAGGCATCAATCAATAGCTCTTTCCCTTTCTCCCCATAATACATGAGAGTTTGAAAAAAAAGAGTAAAACTTACCCGAGGCCACAAAATGACCTGGTAGCAATGACCAGCACTCTAGCCCGAGGAAGCACCTCTTCTGAATGTCCGCATGTACAAGCCTGCATTTGATAACGCTGAAGAGGTTTGTGTGACAACTGCAGGCACCATCTGGTCCAGAGATCTTGACCTTATCGATCATCGTCAAATCCTGTTGCTAGTTTTAGCTACATTCTCAAAACACACAGCAAAGACCTGTATATACTTTAGTGGCAATGCAAACTCACCTTTCAAAGAATCAAGACTGGCCAGGCATGGTGGCTCACACCTGTAATCCCAGCACTTTGCAAGGCCAAGGCGGGTACATTGCCTGAGGTTGAGAGTTCAAGACCAGCCTGGCCAACACCACGAAACCCCATCTCTCCTAAAAATACAAAAATTAGCCAGGCGTGGTGGTGCATGCCTGTAATCCCAGCTACTCTGGAGGCTGAGGCAGGAGAGTCTCTTGAACCCGGGAAGCAGAGGTTGCAGTAAGCTGAGATCGCGCCATCTCCAGCCTGGGCAACAGAGTGAGACTCCATCTCAAAAAAAAAAAAAAAAGAAAAAAAAGACTGCAGAATTTTCTAGAATGTTCTGGTTTCCCTAGCACTCTGACAGATTATTGTAAACTTACAAGAGGAGTCAGAGATGGGATTTAATGAAATGTTCCAGATAGCATAGTGTCGTTTTGTGAGAGTTAAGCACAAGTGTTATGAATCACAGCGTCCACCAGAACTGAAGTCTAGGCTGCTGGTGCTTCTGTCCAGGCCTGTGTGTTTAACATGCGTTCCAAATGCAGTGTGCGCCATCTCCAGGCTGCCAGAGGTAGAGCCTTTTAAAAAGCCATGGAAAAAGGAAGGACTCTCACCTTAAGGAAGGAGTCCTTGGTTGTAGCACGGTCTTGCTGAGTTAGGTGCATCTCTTGGTGATGTGAGATCGTCAGGGAGGAGCATGGTGGATTTAGAAAATATTTGAACTTTGTAGACAGAAAGATGTAGATTTCAGTTCTTGCCTCACTGTTTATTAGCTGTGGGACCTTGGACCTTGTTAGAATGTGCTTGTAACGTGTGTTCTTTTAAAAACAGAGATTAATAGCCCTAAAAACAATATACTAAGAAACAAGACAATACATTGAAAAAATATACTTTATGAATGAAAATTATAGTAATGAGGCCAGGAGTGGTAGCTCACGCCTGTAATCTTAGCACTTTGGGAGGCTGAGATGGGTGGATCACCTAGGTCAAGAGTTCAAGACCAGCCTGTCCAACATGGTGAAACCCCGTCTCTACTAAAAATACAAAAAACTAGCCGGGCGTGGTGGCGGGCGCCTGTAGTCTCAGCTACTTGGGAGGCTGAGGTGGGAGAATGGCGTGAACCGGGAGGCGGAGCTTGCAGTGAGCCGAGATCACGCCACTGCACTCCAGCCTGGGAGCACAGCAAGACTCCGTCTCAAAAAAAAAAAAAAATACAAAAATTAGCCAGGCATGGTGCCAGGCAACTGTAATCCCAGCTACTCCAGAGACTGAGGCAGGAGAATTGCTTGAACCCGGGAGGCAGAGGTTGCAGTGAGCTGAGATCTCACAGGAGATCACTCAGCCTGGGGACAGTGAGACTCCATCTCAAAGAAAATTATAGTAATGAAAACAGAAATCTAATTGGATTCATTAACAGAATAGCAGATTAAATGGTGGCTAAAGAAACAGTGTGTGAACTGGAAGATGAGTGTGAGAAGGTGGTCCCAGAAGACAGCTTAGAGGTCTGAAGAGATGGAAAATATGGAAGAAGAGACATGGAGAATAGGATGACAAAATCCTATAGGAGTAGAACATATCTAATTCTGTAGAAATAAAATAGGCAATTTTTAAAACAGTGAGAACAGAGGGAGTGAGGAAAATAACAAATCATACCCGGGCAAAGGAACATTGATGGTTCAAACAATGAACTGAAGAGTTTAGAAATGAACAGTTTAGATGAAGAATTTAGAAAACAGCACAGAACCACAATAATGGAGAGCAGTATCCCAGAAGGCAGAGAGAACACTGGAATCCTCTTTCTCCTTCTAGTCTGGAGGAGGGCAGAAGTATTAACTTTATATTTACAAATTAAATAGACAACTTAAAAACTGAAGAGTAATCACATGGGAGAGAAAAGAACAGCGCCTCCCATCCAGAAGCCAGCCCGTTACTCACAGCGGGGCCTGGGCGTTCTCCTATTGAACAACCAACCACTGGGCATCAACAAGATGAGGCCCCTCTGTTCCATGAAAGGTGGAGCCAAAAATGAGGCCAACCGGCCACCATACCTGAATACAGACCAAACATGGACATCGTCCAACTCCCCACCCCTGACATGCCCAGACACCCCATCCTGGCTGAGCCAAGCCTGGCTTCATTAAACCCTCCCCAGATCACCTCCCACAGCCCACACCTGGGCCTTTCTAACCGCTCTACACGTTCTCCCTCGCTGCATCAAGTGATAACCCAATCTGTTCAGCCGCAGGGGAGCTCTGACGGTCTTTGCAGTGCATTGACAGAGTAAAATAACGAAGCAGAATATATGACTTTCAAGGGAGAGAAAAAAGTATCCCAGAATGCAGGTTAGAGACCTAAAAGATGGTAAATCCAATAAAAGAGAAAAACAAGTTGGGAAGAATGCACTTTTCATAATACCTAGAAAACACCAGATTGGATGGTGGGAATAAGTCCAAGCCTACCATTAGTCACAATAAATACTAGCAGATTCATTTCGATTGCTAAAAACACATTTCCTAATCTAGCTATGTGGCATTACAGGAGACACAGCTAGATCATCAGAAGTTAGAAAGCCAAGGGAAGGAAAACAATATCCCAGGCAAATATCACCCAAAGAAAGTGCATGATACTAAGATCTGACAAATTATACTTTAGGCAGAAAACATGTTTTAGGGATGAAGGGAGTCATTACACAGTGTGAGAGGAACGTACAACAATTTAGCCACAAAACACCTAAAGCAAAATTTGACAGACTTGAAAGATGAACAAATTGAAACTATGGTGGGAGATTTTAATACCCCATCTCACAGAAAATAACAGACCAATCAGACAGTAAGTCAAGCCATGAAAAGATCTGTTCTGAACAACACAGTCAATTAGGATGAGTAGAAGCTCCTACATTGAATTTTGTGCACCATATTTGTGGAAAATATGAATGTCTCTACTGAAAAGCCAGAAGGATCTACAAACTGTCACAACATGAAGATTGCTCTGAAATGTCACCACATACAAAATCAATATCCCAGACCAGTAGATTTCCTCCATACCAGCAACATCCAGTGATAAAGAAAGATCATCTTCAGAATAAACGCCACGAGATGCCTAAAAATAAGTTGACCAATATGTATATGAGCTTAAGGGAGACGTTTTTAGAATGTTATTGAAGGCATAAAGAAAACTGAGAGAAATGGCATGTCTTAGGGTAGAAAACTCAATTTTACAAAGATGGAGATTCTCTCCAAATTGATCTGTAAAATCAACCCAATTATGAGAAAATTCCAGAGTCTTTTTAAATTTGACCAGCTGATCCTAAAAGTCATATGAAAGGAAAAGCAACCAGGAATAGCTAAGGCAGCTTTGAACAAGAGGATAAGACAGGACCTACCCTCGCTGCACTGATGTTTAATTGCTGCAACATTAGCAATCATGGTATTGGTGCAGAAATAGACAGATCAATAGAAGAAAATACAGAAGCTGGGACAAGGTGTGTGTGTATATGTTAATTATACAAGACAAAGTGGCATTGGAGGAAAGCCAGAAATAAATAAATTATTTAATAAACATTGTTGGCACAATTAATTATCCATTTATCCAGAGAAAATTAGATCCCTTCCTAACTCCACAGAAAATAAATTTTAGATACTTCAATTTAAAGTATTTAAAATTTTCCCATTTGCATTTTCCCTAAATGCAAATAGGAAAGATTTTAAGCTTTTAGAAGAAAATGCAAGAGAAAATGTTAATGAAATCGGAGCAGAAAGGGATTTAAAAAAGAAACACACACACAAGAAACAAAATGCACAATCTGAGCAAGGAGGATTGTTGAAATGAGTAACCACATACCTGCTCTGTCCCTCTGTCCGGAGTTCAGGTGTGGATGGAGGAGTGTGCGCTGTCCAGCGTGCTGCAGACACACCTGAGGGAGGACTACGAGGGCACCATCTGCGGCGTCTTGGGCCGACTGGGCGGCCTCACTGAAGAGTGAGTACAGCTCCCTGAAGGCCTGGGGCTTTGTGTCCTGCATGATGCTCTGTCCAGCCTCAGTGTCCTCATCTGTACAGTGGGCACACTGACTGTCCATCGGCTTCCTTTGAATGTAAATGACTTAATGTTTCTTAGCCTCGATTTCCTCATCTATAAAATGGGCTAATGATATCTACTTCATAGAGTTGTCTGTCACAGGAACTTTTTTAAACAGCTTTCTTCAGGTATAATTTATAATACATTTACTTTATGAGTACAATTCAGTGATTTTTAGTAAATTTACAGAGTTCTACTCCATCACCACAATCCAAATTTAGAACATTTCCATCACCCCAAAAATTGCTACAATGCAATTTTTAAAAGATGTCTTGTGCCCTCTTGCAGCCACTGCCCAATTATCTGTTTTTATATTCATTTTTCACATTTTTGCTATAACTATTAGTGCAATATGGTCGTTTCAATTTGCTGGTATTTTTTTCCTTCTTTCATATGAGAAAAAAAATACGTGTGTATATATATGTGAGGTTTTTTTGGTTTTTTGGGGTTTTTTTGAGACAGAATCTTGCTCTGTTGCCCAGGCTAGAGTCCAGTGGTGCAATCTCGGCTCACTGCAGCCTTCCTCCGCCTCGCGGGTTCAAGTGATTCTCCAGCTTCAGCCTCCCGAGTAGGGGGGATTACAGGTGCCTGCCATCATGCCTGGCTAATTTTTGTATTTTTAGTTGTTTGTTTTTTTGGGTTTTTTTGAGACAGAATCTTGCTCTGTTGCCCAGGCTAGAGTCCAGTGGTGCAATCTCGGCTCACTGCAGCCTTCCCCTCCCGTGGTTCACGCCATTCTCCTGCCTCAGCCTCCCGAGTAGCTGGGACTACAGGCACCTGCCACTTCACCCGGCTAGTTTTTTGTATTTTTTAGTAGAGACAGGGTTTCACCGTGTTAGCCAGGATGGTCTCGATCTCCTGACCTCATGATCCGCCCGTCTCGGCCTCCCAAAGTGCTGGGATTACAGGCTTGAGCCACCGTGCCCGGCCAGAATTTATTTTCAATTTATTTTCCTTCGGGTATTGATATAACTATTTTTTAGTTGTCCAGCCCTTTACAGAAAACAAATTGTGTATACCATCAAGAAGCAAGTGTCTAGCTATGGAACTGGATAATACAGGGGAAATATCAGAAGAGGATGGAGGCCGGGTGAGGTGGCTCATGTCTGTAATCCCAGCACTTTGGAAGGCTGAGGTGGGCAGATCACCTGAGCTCAGGATTTCAAGACCACCCAGGGCAACATGGTGAAACCCCGTCTCTACTAAAATACAAAAAAATAGCTGGGTGTGGTGGCGGGTGCCTGTAATCCCAGCTACTTGGGAGGCTGAGGCACAAGAATCACTTGAGCCCTGGAGGCGGAGGTTGCAGTGAGCTGAGATCGTACCATTGCACTCCAGCCTGGGCTACAGAGTGAGACACCATCTCAAAAACAAACAAACAAGCAAGCAAACAAAGAAAAGGATGGAAACATAAGTAGACTCAGACCAGGGACACCTGGTGAGCCATACTGAGGACAACAGAGAGCGACTGGGGAATTTGTCTAGACTGAAAACCTGTGTCTTTTAATTGCATTAATGTCTAGTCCATTTATGTTTAATGTAAATCCTTATGCTGGTATATATTTGGGTTTTCATATCAGTTTATGGAAATTCTCAGATGTTTTCTCTTTAGATCTTCCACTACCCATTCTCTCCCTCCTCTTTTTCTGGTACTCCAGTGACAGAATTTATGAGGCTTTTCCACTTTATCCCATATGCCTCTTACATGCTACTCTGTATTTTTTATTCTTCTCTGTGGTTCAGCATGGACATTTTCCTTTGAGGTATCTTCCAACCACTCTCTCTTCAGCCATATTTTATCAGGTGTTAAACCCATCTCCTGAGTTGTTCAGGTCAGTTATTGTGTTTTCAGTTCTAGGATGTCCATTTGATTCCTTGTATAGTTTCCAGTTATCTGCTGAAATTCTTCATCTTATTATTTAATTTCTGGAACATATTAATCATAATTAGTGTAAAGGTCTGTCTGACTATTCTGTTTTCTGATATCTTGTGGGCATGTTTCTATTGTCTGTTTTCTTCTTTATTTTTAGTTCATTCTCACCTATTTGCATGTCAGGGTATTTTTATTGGATGATGACCACTAAGCATGAAAAATTGTAGAGATAATTTAAGACTTCAAATGATACGATCTCTTTCCAGAGAGGATTTTATGTTACTTCTATCAGGAATTTCAGATAGTGGAAGATTCATTCTACCATGTTGGAATTTAGCTGATTCTAAATTAGGTCTTTGTTGGGAATGGCTTTTATTCCTAGGATGAAGGCAGCCACCAAAAAGCCTGGAGTGTTTGCCACCCTCTTCTTGGCAGCTGACTGTCAGACCTCTCTGTTCACCTCTCAACCTCTCAGCAGACACCTCAAGTTATACAACCAAATGTTGAACCTCTGGCAGGCTGAGGTTTTTTACATGAATCACTGAAATAGGAAGTCAAAAATAGCTCAAGATTTCAGCCTTGGATGTGCTGATTTTGAGTCATGCCATTAATACTAGTGGCTGCATACCATAGGCTGCTGTACACATGCATTGCACAGCTGGGCAGGATGTGATGAGGTTAAAAAAATTAATAGACAAGCAGATGGTGGTGTGGTGCCCAGGGAGCACCCGCGCCTAAGAGGATGGCATTAGAGGGTGGTGATTCCAACCCACTTCCTTTTGGAGGGGCTCCCTGTGGGCTGTGGCTGTATGGGGAGCTTGTCACTAGCTCCGTGAAGCCAAGAGCATTGACCCCACCCCCCACCTGCTTTCCTCAAAGGTCCACGCGGTGTGTCCTGCAGGGGCATGACCTGCTGTTGCGCTCGGCCCTCCGGAGGCTGGCACTCCGTGGCAACGCCCTGGCCACCCTGACACAGATGCGGCTGTCGGGGAAGAAGCACCTCCTGCAGGAGCTGCGGGAACAGCGTGCACTGGAGCAGGGGTCCTCCCAGTGCCTGGACGAGCATCAGTGGCAGCTGCTCAGGGCCCTGGTAAGACCAGCATGGTGGCCCCACCCATTCCAGACAGGCGGTGCCCCTGCAGCAGGCCCCAGCTTCCAGCACCCAAATCCTACCACCCCT